AATAGTTCTGAGAAGCCTCACACATCATTAGGTGCATATGTTAAGTGCACAGGCACATCTCACTGACGCGCATTAGTGCACTTCATTGTGTGATAATCATTTGAACTCTCACTCCTTGGTTAAGCCATGATTCTACCCCTAACACATCATAAAATATATTTGATGAAAACCTTTTAAATGGAAATTTGATTGAAGCATACTTGAATTTTTCAAGTGACAATGGGAGAATTATGTATTTATTAATCTTTATAAAGAATTACATCAATGATTCTAACTGAATCCCTTTAGTGATAAGAGAGCACAAGTTTGAACTATAGAATGCGATACTTATGTCAAACACTGAAAATATGATATCGATAAATCTCTCGAGCTAAACTTTATGGCAGACATTCTTCGGCTTGTTGGACTGTGTTTTGATTTTAATCTATCTTTGATTTGAATGACTCCAAGAGAGTATTATTAAGTGTACATTTACATAAAGTTCTAACACAAGTTTATTAATGCATGACCTTCCTAATTTGGCTTCCTTTAATAAAATGGGGCCAAACAGTTTGATGTCTAACATCATTCACTGGCCATAGTTTATGACAATTAATTCACTGCAACCAGCCAAGTTGTATCAAGTCAGTTTCATCAGCATCACCATAAATACTTTATAGTAATGCTAACGAACATTTAATAATATCACTCCATTTCTATCTAATTACATATATAACACCTACATTTCAATATTTAAATATATATGTCACTTTACTTGTGTACAGAAAGATATATTTCATTTTAGAATTTAAAAAAGTGGTATTTTTATACGTGATATGAAAGATGTTAAGTGAAAAACATTTTACGTGATTCGTATTATATTCGTTAAATATGAACAAATTTTTTAAACTTGATTTATAAATGAGTGGAACACAAACAAACTTTTATCGATTGTATTCGACTCGTTTTGGCTCTAACTAAATTAAATAATAAATAAAGATATATAAAGGTTATATTATTATGTCAAGAATTTTATATATACAAATGTAAAAGAGAAATGTTAGATGCTAGATATGTATATACATAAGAGTTGGGGGTTTTACATGTAAATCTCACTAAGATTTTAAAAATTAAAATTTTGATGTTAGATATCTAAATACATAAGAATTGGGTGGTATGTATGTAAATGCCCCATTTTGCATGGAGGTTAGTAATGTAAATACATAAGAATTTTGTGGCATGTAATATATTAAGCAACATATTAATGAAAGTTATTCCCTCACATCTATATAAAAAAAAATTTAAATTTTATTTCCCCACTATGTCAGATGTGAAATATATTAAGCAAGGAAGCACAAAACAAAGGAAAAAAATAATGGTGGCCATTGCTCTCTAACCAAGTCCTCTTCACCTCATTTGAAGAACCAACATAGAAGAAAACACTTTTCAAGCCCATCACTCTTGATGATTCTGACCTAGAAGGAGTCCAAGTCCCCAACAAAAACCCTTTCATCTTCATCACAAGAATTAGCGAACCCTACAACAATGTGAAGAGTCTTCTTTTTGACAACAGTAGTGCTATCAACATCTTATTCTACTTGATCTTTCTCAGCTTGGGGCTAACATTAATTGTTGATGTCACATATACCAGATACCCCTGTGATGTTATGGGAGCATGCGACGCTCACGCGTGCCCTCCCATAGTTTGAGAAGTCCATCAGAACATTATCAGATGCATTTCATCTTAGGACTAAGATTTACCCCATTCTGGTCGTGCCCGATAGCAACCACCACAGATCTTTGATGTTTTCCATTCTAAGGGAAAGTCAAACAATCATTATAAGGCCTATGTGGTATGTTCTGGTCATTAAGAGTTTTCCGCATTGTGAAATGCGTTTAACAAACTCTTAGAGAAAAAAATGGCCCCTAAGGGTTGTGTGACCACGGCGTAGCCACACTCAAAGGCAACGTGATCACGCTACAAGATAGAGCCCACGACGTAATTAAACAAAAATTATCATTTTAAAATTTCACAACATAATATGTTTTTCATTGTCAATGTGTGGGCTTATGATTAGCTTTTCACTTAGAGATAAAATATGAAACAAATATATCTATGAGAGGGATTGTATAGCTACAGGGGCATACATTATTAGAGGGAGACGTCTTAATCAACTATGAGTCAATGCTCGACTGTTCAATGATTTTCAACATAACTAACATTACGAAGATGTTAAACGATCCAACTTCGATCCTAGATGATATAAGTTTCAAAAAACTTTGATCCAAAATTTTTGATCGTATCTCAGCATGTATATTTCACTTTTATTTTCATGTGTGAGTCAAACTTAGAATAAATTTTGGAGTGATTATAATTTTTTTTGAAATAAATCCTATTCTAAATTTGACTCGTAACTCATGATCTGATAATTCTGAATCTTTAGGATTTATTAAAACTTGTTCAGACTAATTTATGTTTTCAACTGAAAAACCCCTTAATCTAAAGGTCAACATTCTACATCATAAAATATTACAGGTCTCACCACCATCTTATGAAGATTTTTTTTTTAAGTATAAGCAGTATTTTCTATCACACAATAGGTCGGATGCATTCCTCCACTTCAACAAACCAAGTTGAAATCTAATAATCACATTCTCATCTATATCACCTAAAACTTGAACGAGAGTCCTGAGATATCTAAAATGTTCACAATTTTTAATGATTTGATCACCTGTAGTTACAAAACTACCATTAGAGCTACTATAACTAAAATTACATTTCATGTATTCAGTTCTAGATTTACTCAAATGAAGATCTTTAGGCTAAAATGTTGACCTTCATAATTTAAGTTTTGGGACGATTACATAGAAGACACCCAAAACATTGCTATTTACAAATCAAGCACCCTCTTTCATACATTTGTCAAATTCTCAGTCAAATAACAAAGTTCATGATAAAACCTTAACTCATATTCTCATTTTTATGAAATTCACAATGGTTTAATCGTGTCACGCATAAATGCATTACTTTTTCTAA